ATTGGTGTCGAGAATATAGAAAGTGGCCAGACGACTATGTAATACAGATATAATAGCGTGAGGAGAGCGGGTAGCAGCAGACAGAACAAAATTAAACATATAAAAGCAAATAGAATATAGTTAGTGTGAAGTTCAGTGAAGCAACTTGAAAATTTGAGGGAATTTTACAATTTGCTTCAGAGTTTTATTAGTTGAAAATACATAGAGGGAAAACTTAAAGGTTTTTAGTATAAGTGAGTAGTCAAGGATATATAATAAAGAGGCGACAAGAGGACGCCTGTGTTACTAAATAAATCTGTGAAATGAGCCTTGAGAATTAGTAAACAAGGACAGGAGCCAAGTTATGTAAGGAGTGTTGCTTAGAAACATGCAACAAGACACTTGTATTACGAAATAAGCTTGTGAAGCGAGCCTGGAAACCAGTAACCAAGGTCAGCAGCATAGTTAGTAAGAAATGCTGCCTAGAAACAAGATGAATACACCAGTACTTATGACAAGTTGAAGAATTACTGACCTCAACCTCTTAGAACTAAGAAAGATACAGAAAAGTTTGGTTTGGTGAATCATATCGGCACTTTGAGGTGGTATTAGTTACAGCACATGGGTGTAGCAGCACTAGTGAATAGGCAGCCGGCTAACACCACTTATCTATGACCAATTACTTGAGAGTTTTGATTATGGTTCTGGTTTAGCCCGGGAATTCCCCTAAAGCATCCAATAGGAGCACAGGACTACTTGTGGGTGATGCTGTGTCCTATTTAGTGGGTCAAAATAATACCAAGAAAAGTTAGTATAAAAACCCATGTCAGGGACTGAAAAGTTAAGTTCTTCAGGACTAAAGAGTATTCTCCAGAAGAAGTTCTCCAGGCTAAAGAGATGACAATGAAGATGACAAACGTAGCTAAGACGTCTAACAATCCAACTCTACTGTAAGTATAATCTCCCTCTCTTAATCAGCTATTGTAGAAGTATAGGAAATAGTGAATGTATCTGAATAAAAGTGTTTAATGCAAGTAATAATCCAATATAACTAATGTTCGAAATTGTAAGGTTTTATGAAGTTGTTAAATGTTAAATAAATGTTATTCTAAGAGTTCACCATTGTCCTGAGTCTCTATTTCTTTAGTCTAACTGCAAACTTCCTCGAGTTAGCAACTTGTGGCTCCACTCGTCATGACAAATCCTCCAATAAATAAATTTGGTGTAACGAGTAGTTTTAATTGCAACTCCAACAATTAAGCCTAGCAGGGTGCTACTCATTACATAAGTAACGTAAAAGTGATAGGCCTAACATTTTATATATATTAGAGTGAAACTAACAGTGGAAAAGGAAAAAGAAAAAATAAGTTTATTCCATCAAAGCAAAATTTTAAAGTAATTGAATCAGCCTGAGTGCACTCTGACAAAAGGAACATAGGATCTTCAGGAGAAAAAAGACCACAATCGTAAGTGAATCACACCAGACTAATATTGCGATGGTATTAGAGAAAATAGTTCGGCTTGTCAACTGAGATTCTAAAGTAATTGAACAGACCTAAGTGGACTTTTC